GGCTTCTGAAAATAATTAATTTGTATGATTATTATATTATTATTATATTATTCATATTATATTTTATAATAACATACCTAATCAGTAAAATTAACCATAATAGAATCCAGTTATCACTATACCTTCTCTGATTCATACATTTAACTTCAGTTATATCAATAGATTCTTTGAGAGTTGAAGCTTAGATGGTGTTTATAGCGTATTTTTCAACCCTTGTATGTAGCCGAAGGATAGTTTTTGGCTGACGAAAAAGGAATATTTTTTGCTTATTTTATTGGGTTTCCATTAGTTACATAACATTATAATAAGTGCTATTATTTTTAATAAAATATTAAGTACATGCTTACATTTGCTTACATAAAATAAAATATTTATAAATTAAATTAAAAATTAAATGCTGTTTGTTGGTAATTGCTTGAAAACGGCTGATCATTTTATTCTGTTTTTTTTTTATATAATATTATATACACGTGTGCAATAAATATCCAAGTAACCTAACCTGCATCGGATCTACTATAGTTTATTAAACTTAGTCACTTCTTCCTTGGAGTAACTAGAAAAATGAAAATAGTATAATGATAGATAATAACCAACTTTAATATCTATAACTGCAAATAATAGGTTCTTAAAGGTTCAATACTACAACTAACAACAATAACATTGGTAATTGATTAATATAACGTGTATTTTTGCACACACGCGTTGGTTATATTATATATAAACACTCAATATATAAAAATCTACTAAATTATAAATACAATTGATCACAGGCCCTATATACCCAATATAGGTACACAACAATATACAACAATAAAATATTATAATATAAGAAATGCAACACTCAGTGAAAAAAATTTGCTCTTATAATAATTATGTACAATATGAGTTGTGGAACAACAAATGTAGACGATATACATTGTATAGCCGGAACAATATGTTTACAAATAAAATTATATTATAATATTTTATACCACAATATTTAAGCACATAATAAATGATATAAAGTTAATATTATTATTTGTTATTAATAGTGTATAGTGTATGTTATACATACGTAACATGGCAATAATAGTAGGTAAAATGTACATACCCCCATACGCTATACCTAGGTAATACTACATTTTTCTCCTTTAGTTTTGATTATCATTTAAAATATTACAATAGTATAACATATTTAATACTTATAAATTAAAATTATTTACAACAGAAAAAGCCCAGCTTACACTTAAATATTCCTTTTTTAACTAACTAACAAACTAAAATACCTACGTTCAGGTCTACCATGCATATTTGTCATGTAAATTATTTTACTATTATAGTACGTCTATAATAGGTACAAATACATAAAACAATTATTTCAATGATTACGTCAATCACCGTCAGTTTTAAATTATCGAAAGTTGTATAAAAAATGTGAAAGATCCTAAATTTGTTTTAAAAAAAAAAAATGATGTAATCAATAAATATTATATTTTGTATTATCAAGCTCGTATACAGGAAACAATTTAAGGGGTGTTAATAATTTAAAAAAATGTTTACATTATTATCGTTAATATACAAAATATTATTAATTTATCGTTATAACATTATCATAAAAGTGTATGATAATATTTTAATGAAAATATTTCTGAGCTTCCGCTGTAATTGTATGCAAGTCTGTTTATTATAACGATGGTAGATAATATGAACTTTGAGGTTGACGATACTTGATCATCATGCAAGACGGGAGTTATAACTTATAAATACTCATGAAGCGTAACTAAAAATAGATATCGTAAATCGCAAGATTTCAACAGTTTTTAATAAAGATATCGATCGTTTAGCTGACAATCACCCTGTTTAATATTCATACATCGTAATATCTACACATCATTCTACACGTGGACGGACGATGTTATAATAATATAATTTTTTGGGTAACAATAACATTAAATGTTGTTGTGCCAACGGAGAGACAGCTAAAATACGACGACTGTTTTAAGAGGTCACCAGTATCACTTGTTGCTGCCACCACCTGTACTAGTGGCGTCTACACTCAAATTGGTCGCATTGAGTTTCTTGGGTGAAGCAGATGGAGAGGACGCGGCCTCGTCCAGTGGGTCCATGTCCAATCCGTCGTCGTTCTGCAAGTCAGCCGCTGCGTCTCGCGATCCTCTGTTGGCCGTCGACGCACCTGATGAACCTCCGTTCCCGCCAAAGCTGCCACTTGAATTGCTAATGGACGAGACGCCTGCCGCTTTGCGCCAAATTGCCGCCTTGATGGCGTCCACAAGTCGGGCCAATCTGCCAGCCGCGTTCTACGAGACAACAACGAAAATGATAATGGTAATAAAATAATATACCTACAATATATATTATATAAAAAATAATTAAAAAGATAACGTTATGCATTGTTAATATCATTGCATGATACTTCTAATTTTCTATTTATAATATACACCTTCAGATCAAGCTACAAGTTCATAGTATACATATTATGTTGCAGAGTTCGTACAGAAAATCGAAATTTGATTTTTTAAACCAAATATTTTATTTCTTATCAAAAGTGCACATTTATAATTGTTGGTAATTAATGTAGGTAAGTGTATTTAAAATATATCGCACCACTGGAACAAAACCATCATAATTAAAAAATTGGTGCTTATTTGTTAGATATAGCATCAGAATTACAACATTTTTTGATTAATTAATTCAGTGTCATAGATTTGAGTGAGTAAAATATTTTTATTTGTATCACCTCAGTGAACGTAATACTGCCATCATTTTATTTAATGCAGTTTAAAGTTTCATATTTTACAACCAGTGATCCTAAACATAATGTAACACTGCGCTAAATCAAAATGTGGTAAGTAGTATTGTATGATGACATATCATTAAAAACCGCCATAAAGCTAAACTCGTTTGATTAAATAAGATATCAATATCAATATGTAAGCCATTTCAAATTACAAATATTGATGTTAAATAAAAGGTTTGTATTACTGAATAACTTGTAAATTATATTCTTGGTTCAAATTTTGTGTTTGAAATCTATTATTCTTAAGACTACAAATGTTAAATTTAAAGAAGAGGCGATCCTGCACCAAGAGTGTGATATTATCCAAATTGGTATGATATCATAACACATTTTTGTTTAAGAGGACGTTACACGGACATTAATTGTTGCTTCCGTCTTAAAAGTAACACATGGGTAACCTAAAAACTTACTCTCAGCAGGTCACGTTTAGCTTAGTTATTTTGAAAATTAGAGTGAATCTACCTATTATGAAATTTGATAAACATTATCTATGTTTTATATGGATTTTTAAGATATTTCAGTTTTTAAGTGGGCTATAATAATTTTTAATTTACCCTGTAATATACGTAAGACTTGCTAAAAAAATATTAACCATCGTTAAAAACCCTCTTACAATCACAGATAATGTTCTAACCATATAGTTTCATAATAAATCGATTATCTCTAATTGTTTAATTAACGAAGATAAAATAAAATAAATTATTATTATTAATTAATAACCTGACAGTAAGTTTGTAGGTTACCTATGTTTTACTTTTAAGACAGAGGCAACAAATGTCCATGTAACGTAGCCCTATTAATATCTGTAGAAGATTTTTTTTAAATATTAATTTTTGATTTTTACCTTTACATTATGCATTTGTATTTAACTTAACTGAAATCAAATTTACTGATAAACCTTACTCAAAACTTTAAAAAAAAAATGCACATTTTAAATTTAAGCACGTGTAGATATGTACTCAACTATAGACGAAATAATAAATCTCTGCATAGTGTATGTGTATAATATATTACCTGTATGACGTTTCCGATAGCTTGTGATATGCCGTTGACAGCAGTGAAACTGGGACCGAACAACCTGTCCGGAACCTGGAGAGTGACTTTGTTGGCATCGAATGTCACCTCACTATCGTCTTCCAGAGGCGCTATTGCCGGTGCCGTGGCTGAAGATTTCGATTGTTCTTGGGCCAAAACTTGTTGGTCTCCGGTGCCCGGTACCGATGCCAGAAAGTCGTCATCTTCCTGCAATGCAATGTCCCACCATGTAAGAAAACATATAAATATTACAATTTTCATAATATTTCTTTGAATCGTAGTTAAATGTTAAATAATTTAATCGGTATAAATATAATATTAATATTAATAATAAAAATACAAGTTTTGATGACAATATAAAAAATATCAACGAGATATGGAAAACTAAGATCTGAGATGTAAATCATCACAACGGTCTGCCATCAATATCATCCTACATTTGTATGACAACTAATTTGTTCAATTCAAAAAATGATCAAACATTTTGTCTTCAATATGATGTGTTTCAAACTTGAATTTTAATGTAGAGATTTGTTGTTGTATGACTTTTAAACATACATTTTAAGGGAATTTATTTATCGGCATTATGTTAGAGACTAATATCGGGTCACATAAATAATCACTAAACATTTAATGAATCAACAGTAAGCTAAATTCGAATGGTCTCTTAAACATGATTCAGTGGTCCATGATCGACCCTTTAAATTTTATTGAACCATTAAAACTAATACATTTTTGATGAAACCTGGTATAAATAATTCAAATTCTTAAACAATTATCTGCATGATCCAATGATACTACAGTCCTATTTTCTATTTCCCATATCTCATTGAATTTTTTTTAAATAAGCCGCGGCACCTACCGATCTCCTCAGAATTTGTCCTAAGCACTTAAACTCAACAATATAGTATTTTAAGTGTTGTGGGCTGATACAAGCAGTCTGTAATCATTATCATGAACCAGAATTTTAATATCATATTATACGATAACTGTACCGCGAATCGTGTATTCAGCTGAAATATTATTTCTATCTATAATTGGCATTCGACATGGAAAACGACGAATGATGATTAATGACATATGGTAAGAATAACTAGGAGATTGTGCGAACATTAGAATAATTCGTATCAAGTTAACCGAGTCATGACGATGATAATAATAATACAAATTATTTCAAATAGTTGCATATTTATTTTTATTTATTAAATACATTAACGTTTAAAAGAATATTACAGTATGAACATATGAATATCACCACGAATACAATAACATAAGATAAGTATAGAAATCCCTCGTTACCCGCGAATTTTTTAATCGCACTTACGATTATCCACTATAGTATTGAAAACTTGAAAATACTCTTTATTTAATAATCAATATATTTTATCACTATTATGCGAATGTTGAATGGTTGTATAGTGGCCTCGTTATCCGTGGTTTTGTTAGAACCTAACATTCGCGGATATCGAGGGATTCGTGTATACTAATGTAATTTTGAATAATTAACACTAAAATATTAAATTATATCACTTAAATGTTACAGTGGTGAAAGGGGTAACTTTATACGCATATTTTATGCAGACAGATTAAACAAGTGCTCGAGGGTGAACTGTATAAGTAATGATACATTTGAAAGATAATATTTACTTAGTCTTCGATTCTAATATATCTAAATATTAAATATAATTGGTGGATCAAATTTTAATTAGATGTAACTCAGGTACCATGGGCGTATATAGAAATGTCTTATGGGGTAGAGGGGGGAGGGCACGAACAAAAAAATTTAACTGTTCACAAGTAAAAGTTATAACTTATATTTTCCATCCCAAAAGAATAAAAAAAAACTAAAAAAGTATAAAGTACGGTGAATGAGTGAGCCTCATGTGCCTTTCTTTCTAAAAACGCCCTTGGTAGGTTCAGGATTAATTTTTAGTAAGTAGTGTAGTACGCCTGTTAATACATATGATTGGCTTCATAATAGTGAGGACTATCTGTGTTTCTTTTCTATTGTTATTAACTATCAGTAATTATAACTTAAACACCCACCCTATATGACTTTTAAGTTTACAACTATCAACTATATACCTAGTACACCTACTTGAAAGAATCTATAATAACGATAACAATATTGGTATCGACGATAGACTTCTAGTTGATACAAATATTCATGGCGTGGATTTAGAATAAAAGGATTCTATATTTCTACATTTATAAAATAATAATTTAAATTTTTTCACTAGTCAAATTGATTATTTTTTTATAGCAAATAAAAGATATGTTTTAATTATCAGATTCAACGAAATTTTTTATAGATACAACCACGTAAAAATAATGTTATTTAATAACAATATTGAGATTCAAATATTTTTAATTTATTTTATGCCTGGTTCTGAAAAATGTGTAGAATGTTTGAAATTACAGACAAAATAAATTCTATGGGCATGTAGTGTAAAATATTAAAAAGTTAAAAATCTATGTGAATATAAAAACCGGACAAGATAAGAACTTATACATTCCAAGCCACACTTAAAATATATCAATGACAGATGAAAAATAAAGAGAATAATATTAATATACTAATATTGTACCTACCTATTAATTAAGTTACGTGACAAACAGTAGGTACTACAAGACGTCAATACTGATTCGCAAGTGCTAAAGTAGGTAATACTACTGTCTACTAGTAGTAGGTACGTCTCTTTGTTGTTTCATCAATTATAATATTATTAATTGTAATATATTTTTGATATAATTGGCAGCCTGTTTATTTATTGTTATTAATATTACATAAATATATCGAACGACTTATAGAACCTACTTTTGAGAAAAATAATTTCACGACGACTGTAGTAATAAATAATATACCAACAAACTTATTGACTACTAAGATTAACTAAAACCTATATAGATTATCCTAACTAATCCAACTAATATGTAATATAATATTAAATTATTTATATAACACGCATGTATGATGGATTAATGATAATAGGCACATATGATATGACGATGATTGATTGGTGAAATGGTCATTGACTGACAATACCGATTTAAGATGACGATGAAAATTGAAAATCACGATAATTTAGCTTAATAATATGATAATGATAATGGTTATTAGTGTGATGAAAGAACTGTTAAAAATTCTGTGAACAACACGTGTGGTTAAATTATGGAAATTATGAAAATAGTGACGATGAAGAAGAGACGAGTGATTGTACACTACATTATTCAATGTTGCAACAAAAATAATTGCAACGTATTAATTATTAACGTATATGAAAGTGAAGTGTAATAATCACCGAACCTTAGTGATGTATAATACTATAATATATAAGTATAAGACACTAATATAATAAGATGCTCACGTAGTCCCGTATACGCTAATTATTTATTAGGTAAGTGTACTGGGTACACCGTACACCATACTATAATAAACATAAACTGCATGATCTTTTATTATGATTTATAAAATGTGTGACTATGTTAAACGTTAAATTCACCTACGTGTATTTTAGATTTTTGTTAATATAGTAATATATGAATGTACTAATATTACATAATGTTATAAAAAACGAAATTTTGATTATCCGTTACAGTCGAGCTCATGTGGTTGTATCCATATAATTTATTTATAATAAAACTATAAAAAAATACGTTAACAATAATTTAATTTAAAACAGTTGTATAATATCAAGTGAGAGTATACTCGTTTTAATGTCATATGGCATTTCACTACACATATACCATATAGTGATAGCAAGTATACGCGATATTCAAAATTTAAACCTTACCTAGATGTAATTAATTCGAGTTATATAATCGACCAGGGTTACAAAAATCAAACGAATCTTCTTTTTCCTCAATCGGATAATCATCGTTTAAGTGATTATGCAGAAAGTTGGAATGTACATGGAATTATCCTACTTCCAAAATTGTGTTTTATATAATATACCTCTATTTGATGGGTGAGTCAATGAAATTTTCACGACTCGACCATAACGTACTACCTACACAATTTCAATGAAAAACTTGGAAAGCGGAAGCTCCTTATTTTTTCAGTTAGTCTACTAATGGCATAAATTATGAAGGAGCTAATCATCCCTAAGTATCCCTTAATTGCGATTATGACCATCTATACTATTCAACAACTTATATTACTATGTATTATGATTTATGAATTATGACTTTATATGGTTATGGCTTGATTTATATATATATATATATATATAATATATATGTATGATTATGATAATATAATGATAGACAATATATATAAATGACGATTATGATTTATGATATATATTATGGCGGTGTGACTGGCAAGTGCCGATTCAATCGAGAAGACGACGATATGACAATGACGAGAGGACGCATGTTTTTAGAACGACGTCTCTGACGATGGCGATCCGTCGTCGTTTGTTGCGGCAAAGCCCGACGGTTCAGCTGCAAAGCTCGGTTGGAAGGCGGAAAATCCAGAAGGAGCGCCGCCAAAGCTTGATGAAGCGCTTTCAAAGTTTGTCGGGGTTCCGACAAAGTCCGATGGAGGTCCATCAAAGTCTGGCTGTGATGGTGGTGGTGGTGAAGCGATCAGGTCTGATCCGGGTACGAAGGCTGGTGCTGATGGCGCATTCGTGACGAAACCCGAGGCATCGGGGGCAGCCGCGAAGTCCGGTGAAGGGACAATAGCATCGACGGAAGCTGCGGCACCGACGACGTTGAATGTGGCGTTGTCCTAAACACACACACACACACACACACACGCACACAGACACACATTCGTCGTTCGATGTTATTCATAGTTTATTATATTTTATTATATAATAATATATTATTAATATAAATTCAGTGCCCGAATTCGGTTGTGCGGTTACAGCATGTGAAGGAAGCTACTTCAGTCATCTTGCAGACACAATAATATGAACCACTTATCCACGAGTGCCGTTTTGGTTAGTATTGTATTCGAATGTCTAGTATTTAAAACCTGACGTTTGGCTGCAGTAGATAATAATAGAACTGTAGCAGACAATTGAAACTATTGTCGACATCGTGTATACCATAGAGGATATAAGAAATTGTGTCGGTTAACATATACATAATAATCATATAATAATCAATCGGAACCAGAACAGTGTAGTTAATATGTTATTGCGTTTATTTATCTATACTCAATAGGTAAATCTATATACTATAGTCTGCAAGTGAAAAGGTACTTCAGCCTAAGCACCGGTATTATTAAATACGATTAAAAGGCAACTGTATGTATGGCAACTCTGGTCTCCTCCGGATATACGATATTATAATGAATATTACGAGCAATCATGAGAAGATGTACAAACCAATGTTTACCACACACATCAGTTATTAGGTATATGTTTTTCCAAATTCCGGAGCACTGAATTAAATATAATATTATTATAATTAAAACTATCGTACACAAAACTGTATTATATCGTACGCCTTTTGCAACAAACACACACACAAATACACACAATCTCTGTCATGCCTACACGAGAGCGTGATCACACACGTCATACGTAGATACACACGGCACACGTATACAGCTGCACGGACGTGCATTTAAAAAGTCGTCGTCGTTATAATTGTCATTTTATGTCGTATTTTAGTAACAGAGCAATACATAAATTAGATTTATCGATAGATGTATAACACTATCGTGTATAGGACATAGGTACGTTTTCCCTATAATAATATTCAGCTACAGACGAATTCAAAAATTAATTTAACGTTGGTTCTAGTAACTGTAGAGTAGAATGTATTAAATTGTAAACGGAGTAAAACTGAAATTTAGATAACAAGTTTTATATATATTTTTACATTTATGTTTTGCCAATTTATTATTCGTAATACTTTATTTCGAATACATTAACTGATTTATTAAAACGTGTTATTTCATAAATTTCGTCTATAAAGAATCAATTACTGGCAAGAGCCGATTGTGAAATCCCTTAATTGTGTAACGTACATGTAGGTATGTATTATATCGTATTGTAATACACTAATACCGAATAAAAATATATATGTCTTGTTCACTTGTTCAGTATAATGTAGACAGTACTGGTTACAATCTTCATCGTATCTGTCCCGTCAAAGCTATTTTGTACATATATTTTTATTACCTATACATAATATATAGGTATAATATATTTTAACTGTCACCGACGTTTTTTGTTGTTGTTTTTTGTCGGTATTTGTGGGAGTTTTTTTATGTTACAATTATCTTCTCGTCATGATTCTGATGGTGTAATCTTATATTCGTATAAGTATATGTGAATTATACAATTCACATTATTAATTAATCTAAATTCAATCTAAATGTCGTCGTCATCATCACTTCCGTCGTCGTCATCGTCATCGTATGTTATGCATATAATATAAATATATGAACATAAGAATATGATATATTTGTAGTATTTCAGTATCACTACCATTGTCACAAACGACACGAACGAATAATATGATTAAGTTACATAATATTTTTGAATTTAATCGTCATCGTATAATATGATACATTTTGTAGCTATTGTATTTATGCGTAGCCTATGCATAATAAGTCATATAGTATTTTTATGATAGTAAAGTAAAAATTTCATTTTACAATCATTACTCATTAATCGTATTAAATGATATGTACATATAAATATTATATAATATTATAATATTAAAATATATATGTAACCTGTACCTGTATTCAACGAGTGTATAAATTATATTTTGATGTGAAGAAAGTGAGGGAGGGATATATTGGTTGTGGGTAGGTTATTTGGTGTAGTTGGTGTTGGTGCTGGTGGTGATTGTTAAAATATAGTGTACAAGTATAAAATATGTTAGTGTAATTGTACAATAGTGCTCATGGTTATACGTTTTTTATATACGTATACAGTGGATTAACGATAATAAGGCCCATATATTGTAACAACCTTTAATTTAATAATTAATTACAATTCGGTTAAAAACTCAAATGGTATTTCATATAAAATAAAACAAAATAAACACAATTTTCGTTTATCAACGAGTTTAAAAATAACTGACTTTCATGTTTTTATTTAAATAAAACTATGAATACCTACGTCAGCGTAATATTGTTTAATATTTTGTATTTAAGTTACATTTTTTATTTAATTAAATCGAATTCTTTTTTTTTTGATTTATTCCGTTGAAATTCCTATTATTGAAAATCCACTATATATGCATATTATATTTACAATATGTGAGTATAAAATACTGTGAAGTGCGTGCCGTACATAAAGTGGTATTTAATATAATATTAAGACTATACCTGTATTGTATAGTATATTCTGTATACATTTAGTAATTTATAAATCACGTATATGAGTGCACTCATCAGTCACCATGGTAGCAACTTTCCTCTTTGTGTATAATACGTATATATCGGGTCACTACTCATCTTTTAACTTTGACTACCACTCTATCACACATCTTAGGCTCTGTTATAAAACATTTTGTACACAACGATTGGGTTCCAAATTATACCCGATAATCATTAAGCAATAATCATAATATATATTTTATCGGTTTGACCCTCCTCTTAATTCTCGGCCACAACAACCGCTTCCCTCGCCCTTTTCGTTCTCTATCACTATAAATTATACTGCTGTATACCACACTTTGGTAGTCTACAAAATACTCAATACGGTTGTAGACACCACTTATATCCCCTCATGCTCTCTCACTATGTATATAATGTGCATTAAAATATTATACATTATTGTATATTGCAGCTATTTCTCTTATTTACAAGTTTTATTAATGAATACACGATAGATCGTGAATCGATGTAAGCTTACCTTGTTTCCAATCGATCCCGATTTTGAAGGTGAAGAAGATTGGGGCAACACTGGTGACAGGAATTGTGCATTCTGTTGACGGTTGCGCTGGTCAAGGTTGCTCAGCAGGCGGGTCTTAAAGTCGATCACCTGATTGATTTTCTGCAGATGCGTAAAAATAAACAAATAAAACGGTGCGATCAGTTTTCATTACAATTGTGTCAAGGAACGAATGGGAACTATGTAGTAGAGTGGAGCCTGTGTACGCTGCAAGAACGGTGCAGCTAGAAATTGTATAGGTCGAGAAGTGGTATTATATAATAAGTACCATGTTTTTATACGGAAATCTATGTTTTGTATCCGATAATTTTATACACAACTTAGTAATCAAATATTGCTGTATTATAATTTATAGTTTCAGTTAATGTGTGTTTTGGATATTTCGTCTTTATCTATCCACTAGCTACGTCGCTAATTTGAAGCATGCGCATGGGTATGATAGATAATATACTGTACCTGGAACAAAAAGTTGAGCAGCACCGCCTTGACGCCCAGAGCGGTGGCCGCCTTCACCGTCACTTTGGCCACCTTATGGACGGCTTTCAGTCCGACGAGACTGACGCCCAATGCCTTTGAGCCCAATCCAACAGCTTTGGCTCCGAACTTGGCCCCTGCCACCAGCTTGGCACCGGTGCCCAGCGCGACTTTGACCGGCAGAACGATGAGAGGCTTGAGTTTGAGCAACGTCCTTTTTTTCCTGACCAACACGGTCCTTCCGGAGGCCGATGCTGGTACATTAGAGTGAACGGCTGAAGCTCCTTGCCAACTGCTCGGCACTAATGGGGAAGCGGCAGCATCGGTCGATGCAGCGGACGACGCTGGACGTATGGCGGATGACCGAGCACTGGATGGCAAACTGGCGGCTACCACTACCAACAGCAGTAGAGTGGCCGTCAAGACGGAACACCGTCGAACCGATGTCTGTGAAGGTGTCATTTCGGTTGATTTCAAGGTATTTGGCAATTTGCTGTGTGGTTGATACAGCAGTAACCGACGGTGATGTTTAGCCGTTGGTCTATGAAACAGAAAAACCAAAAGTTATAGAAAAAAGACATTCGATAATAATATAACGATACATGTATGGTTTTATATGTAATGTAATGAAATTTAAGTTTAATTCGTTAACGAATAAGTCGTTCACGCATAAATGTAGTGTGGAATGCGCGTGAACAACTCGGATATCACTACACGTCATGTTTATAAACTGGAATAACCGAACTTATACGGCGAGCAGAAAAGTTCATACATCTTATTATTGTCGCCTGTGTTGTGTAATGTACCTGTTTGATTTTTTAATGTCACATCTAAAAAATGAACAAATATGCTTTCAACTTCATAGTTTGAACTTAAAAGTATATTTCTCTATGGGTTAAATGCAGTAGTTATATTCTATGAATATAAGTTAATCCTTCTGATTTAATAGTTACGTATAATATATTATTGTCTGTTTGAATGCGCGAGATCGTAGACGCGTGTTTACATCCTAGTCTAAGCGCTGTTGAGCGAAGAGCATAGTTTTCCCGCCACAATATTTTCCTACATATAAACTCCCTCTGTGGGTATAACAAACCAAATAAGAGGTAACAGTAATGGTGCAATTTTGTCATTAGCAATTGGGATTGATCATATTCTACATATTAATAAACGTGCAAATGTCGTCGATCCAACCTCGATGTGGGTTCAACGATTCGAATGGTTAACTGAACGATTGCACTCATCACGGGGAATGGCAACGTGTTATAACTTATGCATAATATAATATTATTTATTATTGTCATTAAAGTGACGGGCAGCATTATAAAATATATTGTAATATTAATATCTACTCGTTAACTCAAATCTTCGAGGTGCGCTGGCGTCCACAGCAGCCGCAATACGTGCTAATCATTGAATAATAATAATAATAATAATAATAAATAATACAATACATAAACGGGGTAATGCCGTAATATGTACTTATAAACCTGTAACTCAATTTCTGAATTACGCTATGTAACAAAATTGACACCTATATGTATTTGTAAATCAATGTTATTATCGTACCTACGTAATGTAGCGTCATTCATACCTATTAAAACCGATGGTGCTTCGTAGCAAATTAATACGTTTTTTGGTCCCAATTATCATAAAATATTACATTGATATTACGATATTTGTTTATCAATGACGAGTGACGACTCAATAAATTTCCCCACGACCCGTTTTAACGCCGCCGCATTGCGGTTTTTAACTCCGGGTCGAGCACCTCGAATTTATGATAGTTCTTAAATGCTTAGTATCCACTTGCAGAGGTTAAACAGGTAATAATAACGAAAAAACCATTATTGGTTTTAATAACGATATTACCTACATTGGAAAGCACGACAACGTTTGCGGTCTTGCGGTCTGTATAAAGCAGTCAAAGGGCGTGGTCGATGACAAACATACCCACAGCTACATGTGTACACACATGTGTATATTATCATATTGATATAATATAATGTGCATTGACTGAATTTTTTATTTTACGAGATTTTTATGAGGGCAAAACAACGAAAAATGTCGTAATGCGTTGAATTTTTTTTTTTTGCAAATTGCCACGGAAACGCCCGCGATAACGCCCCCTAGGGTGAAGTGCGCGCACACTTTCACTCGACAAACAAAATATACACCTGCAGCTGTATATATTATTATAGTATGCGCATCTAGCGCTTGATTACCAAGGCGGTCCACTATGTGCTGTATATTTTACACAATCATTGGCTCCCCATTAATATTTGGTATTTCGTTATAAAATTTGAAAAATATCATACATTTTCAGGTAAAAGTTCACCGCCCCGAATTGTTGCGCAAAACATCTGAAACGCTTAAAAAAAATTGTGTGACGAAATAAAAAAAAAATGTAGTTTGTATGCAGTATAACCTGTTTTTATCTTAATTATCATGTATCACACTATTCATATAATGCATATATATATATATATTGTATCTACTATATATATATTTGTATATTATTTTAATCACCAATTACTGCCTAGTGCATTATATATAAATACCTAATCATGAAAAATGAAGTTAATCGTATAATCATAAATCTACTTTCTTAGATCACCAATTATATACAATTAATAATTACTAATCAGTAGAGTATACAACTCAAACGATTATTATTCTTGCCATAGAACGTGCCATATTTTAAGTCTGTATAGGTAATTAATTACTGTAGCCTAAGGGTTTCAGGTATACAAGCTAATATTTTACAGTCAAGCTTATGCAACTGTAAGAAGAGTGATAATGCATTTTTTTTCAAAATCAAATATGATATCAAAATATTGTTTTTAAACACAATATCATAGTTTATCGTAAATCGACACATCGTACATGAATTGCAATGAAATGTTTTGAAAAGGCTAAAGGTTTAGTTTACAGTTTTATTTGATGCCATGTATGTATGGTATTTATTTGATTCGGTACTGAGAACGTCACATGAGTATAATATATAAAGCATAATTATAATGACTATATAAGTTATTAGTTATTATCTATTATTTATTATAATTATTAATATTATGCGGAGTTATTTACGGTTTGTGCACATAAAATAAATGTTTGCGACATGGCATTATAATAGTATTACATTCTTATACACGATGCTTTTTACCACAGAGACTGATTTTCGCCATATTATCATTATAAAATACAGTTATTAGCAATGTCAGCTGTTTCAGTGGATGCTGTGCATATATTTTGCTACCACACACAAACACAGGTCCGTGAAACGTGAATAGTGATCTGTCGAGGCATTTGAAGTTCGAACGGTCATATGTGACTACCTAATACCTATACTCTATAGGAGCAGAGTTTCAAATAAGCTTTTAGAATTGTGATTTATATTATGAAGTATTAAAATTGTTAGTAGTGTAATTAAAAAATTAGATAAAAATATAACATGTTAAAGTAGGTCGGATTTTATACTGCATCTAGGGGGATTTTAGAGTTCAAACTACAGAAAATCTGAATTTACACTAGATCGTACATCGTATAGAAGGTGCTTCATCTCTATGATTGTTCTACCAGTTAATTATAAGGTTATTGCCAATCTGCTTCATCGTTTATCGTTTATGTACCAATAATATTCCTAGTTGGTGAGACAACTTCCCAATGATAGATATGTCTGACAATTATTATACTTCTGATGAAAATTTTTTTTTAGAAATTGATCAGAATTTGATTGTAAGTTATCTTAGGAACGAAGATAATTTATATCGTTACACATTACATTACAACGTATTTTTTCAGAGCAGCATGTTCTGTATAACTAAGCTCCAAGTAGGTACACACTGTTTAAATAGGTAGAGTATATTTTCTAAAAAAAACCGCAGTGTATTGTACAATAACGGTGCACGAAATCGGTGGTACAATGGTAGCTATTAAATAATAATCAATAATGAATGTGTATTTTGCAAAGAACGAATAAGACGGATAATATTTGGAAATTCCGTGTGGTCGCCGTCGCGATCTGTCTGCAGTAAGGGACGGATAAAAAATAATAATGATCAACAATGTCGCAATATATTTTTTAATCCAGGATGAATGTACGTACGGCGACGGTGCGGCGGCGGTTTCGGAGCTGGTTTCACCTGGGGCGGTAAAAGGCGGCATTTCCCGTTCGCTAATCGTCGTATGCATTATATTATATTAATATTATGATATACATTTTAAGTTGCGCGATAAATACATTTGCTATATATATATTTTTTATTATTTATATCAATATAATATCATTACGTATATTTTTTCTATGTAGTAGTGTATTAGAGTAGGTGGCAGTTCGATAATATGATTCGCAGCTGATCTAGATCGTTGGCCAAGGTACTCTACAATCACCATGATTTCTTTTTCTCTCGCGCTTTAATAGAGGAATATACTATATTATATTAAAATAAGTATAATATAATCGTGTACATGACCAGGTCGTTGCACCGCTTACCATTATTACGAGTACATATGTACGAGTATGTACGAATGTGTTTTATATGTTGTAATTATTGTTGTATGTGTTTGTTGGTATGTAGATATCCCATTTAGATACTAGGCGAATTTCGCTTTCAACCGTTTTTTATATTATACTTTAGGTACAACTGAAATAACTGACTAGGTACCTTTTGTAATTAACCATAACTATATAAGAACTTTTGGTATGAACAATATTTTTAATTTTGTTTTTAAATTAAATTATTAATAAAACAAATATTAAATATTAATTAGAACACAATGTATTAAATAGTTCGTTAATTATACATTTATCAGTTTTCTCTGTTACACTATATATATATATAACCACGCTGGATTTTGGAGTACGTAAGAAAAGAACCACGGTTTCTCAGAGTCTATTCTCGTTGAAGACCTAAAATCATATCGAGTGGTCTAAGTTTAAACATTATAGTATGAGAATGTTTAATATTTTTTTATAATTTTAATATTTAACAGTGTTATTTTCAGTTCATTATTATATTATATTTATTTTATATGTGTAGGACTGCCTATCTATAAATTATAAATAAACGATTTATATATTTTAATTTTTATGATACTTATTAGAATTAAAATGTTTTATGTATTTTTAATACTTAAGATTAAATGACAGTAAAATTGATTATTTCTGAAAGAAAGAACAGCTCATGTTTGGGCTCGGCTCGTGTTAAGTTTCTGAGTCAATTTTGAGAAGAAAGTGGTAATTAGTATGTATGCGTATGAATGTAGTGTGAAAGAAATAATAGGGGGCTACAGCACATGCAAGCATATTTTAGTAAGTTTAGCCATCACTCGCTAAATTTAATTTTTTTTAAATTTTTTTCTTTAGAAATTCCTCATAAATATTTTGCCAATTGTATTGACTTCTATATATGAGGTTATTGCACATAGGCCTGAGGCCTCTATTATTATCAACCAAAATAAAATGGCAGCGTAAGAGTACGGTCAATGGCAAAGTATAGATCGTCCTTTTTCGCTGACATTTTAATTCCTTAAAGTGATAAAATGATATAATGAGGGTACTATTACAATAAGCTAGTATATTTGTGCAATGAACTAACCTATTTGATACAATTTTTTAATTGAGTTTGAAATTGTAATGAAGTTTATTTGAAAACGACTTCCTTTACATGTTTAAGATAACATTATTCGACCAGTACCAGTTGTCTATTACTTACGCATACATTTTCGCTCAGAATAATCCAGTTTATTTCATTAATTTCAACATTAAACTTTAAATTTTAAAGTATATTAAATATTTTTGAATTTAAAAGGAGGGATATTATAAAGGGCTCATCTAGACTTATTTTGATATTTAAATTTTGATATATTATGTTATATTATTGTACATTTTACAAAATCATACTCTAAACATTTCATTAAAATTAAAATGTTTAAAACATCTGGTATACAATAATGTAAAATAGACTATTCTGAAAGTACAATTTGGTTAGATTTGGTTAGGTGTGTTTGTGAAATAGAAACTACACATATACGGGTACCTAAGTATAACGTAGTTCTAATTTTTTTTCGATATGATCAGTTAAATACTTAACTTTTACAAAGTTTTTAATATTTAACATTTTAAATTACAATTTTTAAGGGCATTTTTAAATTACAAGCTCAAATTCAAAAAAGTGGAACATTTGTTTTCTAGTAAAACGTCATATATAAACTTAATCAATTTTTTTCAGAAGTTAAATCAGATTACTAGAATAGTCTATAATGTGACATTAATTGACATAAAATAAGTTTATTTTCGCCAATATACTATTTTCTTAAATAATAAATGCACAGTATTTGAAAATAATATTTTATGAACTCTTGTTTTGGTCCTTTAACTGTAATAATTACAGTATAATTTTATACTGATATTAGTACTCGGGTATAGTGACTCCGATGACGGGTACCGCCTTTAGCATACAGAATGAACACAAATCAGCTGAAAATACCAAAAATGAATAACCTCGAAGTGCATAAAATATGTTTTATTAAGAAAAAATACAAAACAATTGTATATTAATATTTCCTGTAAACAACGTAAGCATGAAATCTCAAAGTCTTAACACCAACTTAGCTCCCAAATTTAAAGAGGATACCTAATCTCTTCGAGATAACTCTATATCATTTTTGTAAAATATAATCTATCTAAAAACTTATAACAGCATAAGTAATATATTATAAATTATAATAATAGTAATATAGTATTTAAGAAATCGTGAAATGCTATAACATCTTAATTGAACAATATAGGTAACAAAAAGGATATGACGTTAGGTTATCGTCTGCACATTTGGTAGAAGCAAATAATCCTACATATATCAACCGAGATTTAACCTAACACCAAGATTTCGATTTTGTTATACATGACAGAAATCCAGTAAATGGATTCAGTATGTAGATACACGGTTATACACTTATATCAATACATCATATTATAACTAACAAGTTCTCTTGATGTACATCGGTGACATTTGCAAACTGTGCTCACGTCGGTCAAGGACGGGCAGTACAGCAACACCATCGCCGCGGGCCGACCAGCGTCGTAAAGTCGGGTTCACACTACACCGTGTTGTGAGTGTTCCGTATAATATTTAATATACGTAGGTAAGCAAATATTGGTAACACGTTACCTATACAATTTGAATGTATAATACAACTTTACATGACACGGTATAATGAGAACCCGGCTTGAAACGATCGAACGACCGCGACCATGGTACTATCTCGTAATATGCGCTTTAATTACATCGTTGTGCACGGCGATTACATTCTCATTTCGCGGGCATAATATATTGTTCAGCGACGACGATCACTGGCGCATCCGTTTAAATAGTGGGTACCCATGTTTTATTCTTATGTTGTCTCTTACGCGTGAAATTACGTAAACTGGACACGAAACAACAATAAACGTGGTAATAATATTACATAGTTATTGATAGTGCCAGCGGCAAAATGATGCCACCGTGGTTGTCCGGTTTTCACTCTCGTCATCGCGTCGTTCCCCCTGTCTACTTCACACCCGCCCATCACTATTCTCGTACCATATAATTTCATATTATTATACGCATTCTATGATGTGTCCTTCCGTCTCTCTAGCTTCCCCCCTCTCTCCCCCTCGTACTCTCTCGGCGCTTATGTCTGATCGTCGCAGTGTTTTTGACACGCGGAAATCATCATTTTTCAGAATTATACATACGATACTCGGTAGGCACTAATATACGCGACACGCGTGTACTAAAATTATTATGCACACCAGCTAATTATTATAATATATCTTACTGTATATATTTTTTAAATTTCCGAATAATATTTTTAAGTACTTAACTAAACATTTTTCTCACTAAGAGTTTATTCTCAAAGAAACATTCAATTGTATATATTATTATAACTAATAAGTAGAATGTTCAAAAAATACGAAAATTAATGATTTTAACTATATTTTTTGGCTGTCCATTCTATGCTAGCAGAGTAAATTCGAGTAGTTTTTGTTTAGCATAAAATCAGTTGTTAGTTATTACTTTATTAGCTCTATCCAAGTGTCCAACGGCAACACCACTCTTCTCAAGTCACAAACTGTTCAAATTTGTTTAACACAAACCTCAAAATGTTACATTTCCTCAATAAGGTATTGTTAATGTATCTACTCCTGGGTGTAATTCTTTTTTCGTATTAACTGTCCTAACTTTAATCCAACCTAATACAAGCTTTTGTACTTGCAGTAAACATCGTAAAAAACCGCATTATGATGATCTGTATACAATTGGTCGTAGAATAGAGAAAAACACAAACACGAGATAGTTAGGTACCTACATACAATACATACATCATTAACGTCGACCCACGTGACGCTACAATAACGACGCTGCGTGTTGTTAAGTTCTCCGCGGGACGTAGAATTCGGTGGCCGACCATTTCCTGCTTAATGGTACCATATTATATACGCTAGTAAGTGCTTGTATAATGTCGTGTATTTTTCTAGAAATTTCATATTCACATTTATGATGAAACATTTGTATTGTATATGAACGGTTTAATGAAAACAAATAGTACTATATACTATGGAGTGGGGACATACGGTGTTAGTGTGTCATATGCGAGATTATGTTACATACCCATAACACCCCATTTTACAACCCACTGCAGTCAGGTAATAATAAAAAAATATAAATATCTAATATGTGTTATAAAAGCATGTGTTTAAAATAAAAGAGTGAAACGACGCGGGCCGTGGCTGCCGGAGCGGTGAAAGTCGTCGGCATTATAATAACGTATGGGTAGCGTATACCTACGTATAGTCGTCATCGTCGTTCCAGCAACGGAAACCGACTCAGAGAGTGGAGTGTACTCGGGCGAACGGTACCGGTCCTGTGGCCCGGTTATTAAATAATGATAATAAATGTATTACGATTACTGCACACGTTATGTGTATTTTTTCGCTGAAAAGAAATTATGCAACAACGGTCGACGGCGACAATCAACGGTACGGCGGAATGACTTATATTAAAAAATAAAGCTATGAATATACAAAATAAATAAATACGAACACGTCATGATGTCAGAGCAATTGGCACCGGGAAAACAGCAATGACGGTTATAAAAAATGTATTAAAAGTGAAAGACGAAAAAATCAAAAAACCGGACACCCGATGTGTCAGCTGAGCACCGTCATTTCTGTGCATTATTTACAATAATAATGCACAGACGCAAAAAAACACCTTGATCTCGGAAACAAGTTTCCACTCTTTTCTTACATATTTACATAATAGTGGACTGTATACTTTAATACATTACAATTATTATGTCATATTACGTATTATCGTATGACATTATTTAAACCAAAATCAAGTGGACACAAATATACGTTTTTGATTTTTGAAACGAACTTTAGTTTATAGCTTAATCAACAATGATCAACACCAATTTCTAGCGTTTTTTTTAAAGATATTGGGAATTTAAAAAAAATTAAATCTTGAAATATCGCCTAAATATCATGTCTGATGTGTTGTATAGTCCAAATTAACTAATGTAGCTAGAAGCTTTTTGAACTTTTGACCGTAAGCAAGGTTAGGTTTGGTGTTCGTCATAACGAGTTAGTATAGGACTTAGAGAGTGTCAACGTCACCCGAATGCCATAAATTATAAGATATATCGGGTACGTATCCTTAATTAGAATCACGTAACGGAGAATGAAAAAAAAACTGTTTCACGCCACAACGTGTTTATTACGCGTGTGGTCTTCTTATACACGCGTGTGTGCACTGTTTTATTACGTACCTAGGTACGCTGTCTCGTCGAACGAGTTGTTATATTATTCGCGCGTCCGTGGTTGTACGCTATATTGTTTTTATTGCTGGGACTTTAACGGGAAACCAAACGGGTTTTTTCAAACTTTTATTACCTATACATTAATATTATCGTACAATTTAAAATACACACTACCGGACGAGCAGGAAGTATAGTCGGGAAATAAATCACGAGAGTTGCACGACCGATTATTATCTCGGATTTCGGATCTTATAATTATGTAAACACGCTTGACTCATTTAATATATCCACTCGACTTTACGTAACCAAAACAATCGAAAATTTGTATGCACTACTCGATCGATAATATTACAATAATATATTTTGCATATAATATATAAATATTTAAATCACACTTATCGTCTATTTTGATAATTTGCATTTATACAAATAAATATAAAGTCTAACGCCGTGTCCTACGTGAATGCAGGAGTGCGATTTCTATTGTAACCATGCTGTTTCGCCGTAGTGCGATACGTCCGATGCAACGAAATACAAACTGTTTTGTTTTTCGTTGCATTTGTCGAATTCACGTAGGACATGGGGTAATATACTTTCGTGTGCTTTATGCACTTCCACACTTTCACAGGTAGGTAATAGGTATACACTCGAAACACTATACTATGGTTATGAATGATGATAATAATTATAAAGTATACCTTTTGTCAGCCGAGCGTTTGTGTTTTCCGGCGCGACTCCGCCGACACTTGCAGTTGATCGCGAGTGAAGTGCAGTCGCGATGACCGCGTTTCGTCGGGTTTCCCTCGTGTTATACCGGCCGCGCTGAACCTTCTTATCGACGACGACTGCAGATGCACCTCTTTACCAGTAGCGTTGCAGCTGTATATTATGTACGAAATTATGTTTGATAATAATATAATAAACAATAGTAATATTAATATTATTATTATCTTTGCGCATACAAACACGCCACACTCACACACGCACACGACAGATATACGACGTCCCAACAGCAGCAGCGGTGCCGGCGCTTATTATATACGCGTATTTCGTACTTATTTCTATATAAGCATACGAGAACGTGTGTGCGGGCGTGCGAGCGAGCGCTTATTGAAAAAAATTGTGTGACTGATCTGCCGGACGCGGGCGAGTGACTGTAGCGGACGATCGGTGGTTGGCCGCGTGTGATGTACACTGTGAATGTGCGGGCGAAGTGAGTGCGCGTGAGCGGGGCTGCGACCGGTGCGAGAAGAAAAAAAATGAAAGTAGTATAATATTATTATTATTATTATCATTATATATAGTAACATGCCGTAGAAGTAAGTATTATATGTAATATTATATACATGCAGTTATATTATTATATACAATAATATATATAGTAATAATGTTATGTGCTATATAATACTTAATACCAACCGGCGCTCACGCGTTTATGTAGCTTTTAATAGTTTTCCTATTCCCGGTGTTTGCAAATATTGATTGCAGTGCAGTCGGTGCATAATTTGAATTAGTGCAGAGACTATACAGTTAAAGTAGGCAGAAAGCACGCAACTCGATACGTGGGAGTGTATGCATATTATGTATTTATTCACATTACACGTGTCTTATGTGAAAATAATAATTATTTATTCATTTATTTATTTATTTCGTAAGTATATTTTATGAAACAACTTATAACATTATAAAATACTCTATGTTTGTTTAATTTTTAAGGATTATTTGGATATATTCGTTTTAAATTAATTTCAAACTATCAATAACTCTATATAGGCATATTAGATTTTGAGCGTGGCGATGAATGTACTGATCTTGATGACATGATGCGTGTTTTTTTGTGTAGGTAGACACTTTTTCTAGTAAAAATAAATGCTTTGATCATTAAACTTCGATGCAGTAATTTCTGATAGCAAATTGGATCAAGTTGGTATTTTCTTTTTACTTCAAAATTGAATGTTTTCAAAAGCAACAAGAAAAACAAACAGGTTTTCGACTAAATCAATTTTGGTTTCTGTTGTACCTAACTCTAAAAAAAAAATACGTCAGATATATGGAATTTTCACGGATGTTTTTATCTACATTTTCTATACACCATAAAATTTTCAAAATATTTTGACTCATGTTGAACTATTTATAGGCATATAAAATTTTCATATCATGTCGATAAAAAAAATTTTACTCGGTTTTTATGAGTGTTTGAATTTAGAATTTTGAAAAATTCGTAAATATCAAGACAAAATTACAAACTATTTTGAGTTGGAAATTTTTAAGATATTTTGTTTTTATATATCTAAGATTTTATAATTTAATACAAGATTCCTTATAAGTTGTTTTACCTTTGTCAAAAGAAAAAAATTCTAAGCTAAATTAGAATGAGCATTTGAAGTTGAAATGTTTAGAACATTGGATATTTATTGGATTTCACATGTAAAAATTTTCTTATTCTGTTCTAATTCAAAAACGTATAATTGTAGATACTTTAAATTTACACCACATGTTTATTTTATCAATTCATATAATTGAACTAGTTTTTTAAGTTTTAAAAATCTCAAATGTTGAGTAAAAAGCTTGACAATTTAATACAAGGTTCCCGACATACCTTCACAAGATCAGTTGAAAAATGATAAGAATACATAGGCACGATTTTGTTATATAAGCATTTCAAGTTCAAATTTGAACCAAATTACATATTAATAATTAACCAAGAATATGATTTAAATTATTTTGTCGTATTTAAAAATATTATTCGTGGGTACCTACTTGAAACTTTTAGATTATATAATTATATTTTATACACACAATATGACTTTTCAAATGTAATTTTTTTTTGGTAAAAATGAATTTAACTTACTGTAGTACTATTGCTTAATTGTAAAATAAATAACTTTAATCTCAATAATGTCATCAAATTTGCAAAATGATTAAGTAATATTGTATAGGCTAACAGCGGTCTTCTCTCAGAATTTTAAAGTTTATATAACATTGGATATTCACTCGATTTCTTATGTAGAGATTTCATTATTTTATTGTAATTCAAAAACGAATAGCAGTAGGTAGGTACTATAAATTTACACCATATGTTTATTTTTTCAATTCATATACTTGATAACATTTTCATAATATTTTGACCCATTTCTGCTGTTTATAGAAATTTTCAATTTTCATTATATTAGTTTTTTTCCATGGATTTCAATAAAATATTATTTGTTGGGTCAAAAAACTTGAAAATGTAATACAAGACTCCTGATATATTGTTACAATAACAGTTTTTACAAACATTTTAAGTTCAAATTTGGACAAATTACACAAATTAACACAAAAAATAACGTTTTGTAATTTTGTTGTAATTCGGTTCCAAAACAGCCCAATTGAATACAGGTATATTTAATAATTGTCCGCATCACTGATAATTTAAGAATAATATTTCAACTTACCGGCTATAGTATTAATAATAAGTAATAACAATAAAAAAATATCCTAGACTGACATAACGTTTCCTTTCGGAATCGTTTTCGTATACAATGACATGATATCAATGAACTAAAATTTAATACCATCCATTATAGCGACCTCCTAGACACCTAATATACAGCAGAGCTACATTCACTTACCCGATTTTTTGCGGTTCAGATTTTGAAACATTTATCAAATTGAAATTTAAAATGTAAAAATTATTTTATACCTAGTTAAATATTTATAAAATGTTAAACTTTTATAACTGAAGATCAAAAATTTAAAAAAAGTGGCACACTACTACAATTAACTACTAATTCTGTAACTAAAAAATCTAAATAATATAAGTTTTTTATGGTTATCTTATGAACAAATTTGGACAAAATTACATATTAAATAACCAAGCCCAATGATATAAGTTATTTTGTTGTAATTTAAAAATATTATTCGTGGGTACCTATTTGAAACTTTTAGAGTATATTATTATATTTTATATACACAATGACATTTCAAATGTAATTTTTTTTGACAAAAATGAATTGAACCTACTATAGGGTGTCTCAGTAGAAACGCACATTTTAAAAACGACTGGATTTTTTTGTTTTTGGGTTTGGGTTTTCGGCAGTGCTCCAACGTTTTTCTTGTCTTGTAACATCTCCCATTTGTCATTCCAAAGCAGTTTTTGGCATTCGTCGTCATGGAGAGATCCACAGTTGAACAATACGCAATAATAATCACACTGTCTTGCACTATGGCTACGTTTGCTAGCGATCAAATGTTCCTCTGATTTTTGGATTTCTTGTCCACAACGTACTGAGCCTGTTTTTTCGAATTTTTCTAACAAACGAGTTAAGTCACTCGCGATGCGCATTGTTTGGAGCTTTCGCAACTTTTCTTCGAGTCACTCTCCTCGCTTGTAATGCATTCTCACTATTGTAAGCGTTGTTCAACTGTGAACCTCTCCATGACAACGAATGCCAAAAACTGCTTTGGGATGACAAATGGGAGATGTTATAAGACAAGAAAAACATTGGAACACAGCCGAAAACCCAAAAACAAAAAAATCTCGTCGTTATTAAAATGTGCGTTTTGACTGGGACACCCTATATATAGTACTATTATTTCATAGTGAAATAAATAACTTTAATCACAATAATGTCATAAAATATACTAAATTACTAAGAAATATTACAGGCTAACAGACCGTCTTCGCTCAGAAACATTTTTCGTATACAATGATTTTATTGAATTCAAATTTAACACCATCCATTACAGTGACCCACTTGTAACCTACTGTACAGCAGAGTGACAACCACTTACCAGCTTTTTTACTTTTAATCTTTCAAAGTACCAATTACATTCACTGTCCTACCAGTAAGATGCTGAAATAAAAAATCGATGCACTTTACTGCTTAAATGATGACAGACAAAAAAACCACATAATGTTAAGTCAATACATTCATCTATCCTCTTAGAGTATAATAATTATCAAAATGTGTTAACATTTTAATATTACCTATCATTAAAATAATTTTTGGTTAACTTTATTAGTTTTTTTCTATACATAAAGATAAAAAAATTTCGTTAGGTTAAAAAGCTTAAAAATGTAATACAAGATTCCTTATAAATCATTATTATAGCTATTTAAAAATATTCAAGGTACATAGATATGTTTTTTTTAATAAATATTTTTACTTAAAATGTCGACAAAATTCGTCATAATTTAAATATTATTTTGTAGCTAAAAAAATGGTTAAAACATTCACAATTTTTAATTTGTATAGTTAAGGATTGGAAATTTAATACAAGGTTCTTCATAAGTTGACCATATTGTAAAAAAAAATCATTGACAATATTAGGATAATAGTAATGCAAATGCAACGTTTAAAAATTCATTCAACCTACTTATTATCACTAATAGCAATATTAATTTAATGTATTTTACTAGTGGCTGCCATAGTCTAAGCTCGGAATCATTTTTCACATACAGTGACTGTGGCCCACTCGACACCTACTGTTCATTTTTTTATTTAAAGGGGTTACTACAATTTAAAAACTGAAATATGCAACAGCAAAATTTGAAAATATAAATTATTATACTGATGGTTTTAACCATAATGAACAATCAAACATTTGTTATTGAAAGATAACAAAAATAATAGCACATTGTATAATTATTACTAACTATTACATACTAACATTATTAGTTATCAATAAAACACCTTAAAATAAACATGTTTTTAATCTTTTTAGGTGTTTAGTAGTGTGAGCTGTGATGATCCAGGGGTCTAAGATAGTAGCCTGGTATCCCTATAATAGACCAAAAGGAAAAGAGTGAATTAAAAAGAGCATGAACAAAATGAGCTTATCAAAATATGATCGAAAATCGATCACTTACGATTTTCTTATTATTTTATATTGGCTATGTACCTACTAATTATGTGAAACTACAATGAAATATTTCAGAATTTAAAAAGTCTGCGATAACGATTCGATAATATTACGTTTAGTTAATGATATTTATTGTTCTATAGTTTTCGTACCTAGATTGAATATGTAATTTTAGTCGGTCGACAGTCTCCTTATATTATATACCTACAGACTACTATTTAACAACTTCAATATTTAAAAGGTATTGGGTAAAATTAATTGTCCATTATAAGTGTGATAAATAGTATTTATTTTTTTTAAATTATATTTTATACACATATAAATGTAGTAATTCAATATTCATATTATATTTTTCTATATAATTTCGAAAA